ACAAATGTACATGGGTCAGACATCCACAGTTTGGGGATTTTCAAATCTTACAATCAAATGAATTGATTAAAAATTTGAGGAAATTGGAATTTAATGAGAATGAGAGATTAGCTGGTGGTAGTGAGCTTGAATGGGAGATGAAGTTGCTTTCAAAACACAATGGCTCTGTTCGAGACAGTCACAGACCCAAAGAGATCACAGACTCTCACAGATGGGCAATTAATTCAACAGTCCGATAGGAGTGACCATTGAAAGTAAACAGGACATTATACAGATCTTTAAAGACGGACATTTAATGAACTGTCCGTAAGATTGCTTCACTATCGAGACATCATCACAGAGTAGGCACCGATCCTCACGGACTGATAACTGATCCACTGTTCCTGATAAGATCAAAGTACAAAATGTAAGCAGGAGATCCTCACAGATGGACAATCAATCAACTGCGCCAGATATTTCAAAACAAACAGGACATCATCATCACAGATTAAGCACAGATCCTCACAAATACCCAAAAGATCAACAGTCCCACCTGTAAGAGATTACTCAAAGCAAACAGGGCATCATAACCTTTCAGATGGAGACCTCACAGATGGGCAATTAATCAACCATCACGAATAATCAGTATCACCCAGGTCAAATACAAGATCAGGACAGAAGCCGGCAAGGCTCAGATGATGACAGAACAGTTCAAGTCTTCCATCCCTCTCCAAACTGGGGTCTATTTCAGGAGAACATGCAGTAGGTCTATAAACGGCAATGTCACAGGCCGCCCACACCCAATTGCTGAAAGATGTTTTTCAGTTGCAAGAAGTCAAACACTGACAAGCAAACCTTTGTACTTGCAATTATTTCTTTAATTTCAAAAATGCATGTGACCAAAACTGCTACAAATGATTTGCCAGAAGTACACATGTACCGACTACCGTTACAAGTACAAAAACTGTTGACTGTTGTTTTTACAATTCTGTGCAATAGTCACAGACTTTGGTCATTTGATTTAGTGACGTGCTATTTTTAATGGTTCATGTTTTGCTATTACATACAGTACATGTATTAGAAATGCCAGTGGAAGTTGAATTTCTATGCTTTTTAGTGTGGACAATAAATTGAAATTGACTTGAGAATCTTTCTCTGTACATGTTTCATCCTGTCAATATGAACTTACGAACTTCAAATAATCTAACCCGGCAAGTACCATGTACTTTCAAAAGACCATTTAAACTTCAACAAAATGGGGCCCTCAAACCTCATGTCAAGTACCAGTAGTGGTGGCTGGGACGAAATACTGTTCTACATGCACTGAATTAGTGGAAAACAAGAAGTTAAAGTTAGCTACCGGTAGACTCAGATACTTGGATAACTTCAAGATACATGTTTTGCAAAAGGTGGATAAAATCTTCTAGAATCAATTGCCGCAATGTGGTACATGAACCGTGTGTGTGCAGTACTTTGCAACAAAACTGGGTCATGTCAGGTAATACGAGGCTGGGATTATGAACAGCGCAGATTATTGCCTATGCTTCAGAACCAAGCATTCGATAGCAACAGATGTGGCAGTGATGGATTAACCCCTAAAACCTTCTCAAATCTTCCAAATCCTCCTGGCAGAAGTGGAGGATTCTGACGGATTGTGGCTGTACGGCAGACAAGTGTTGCTGATTCGGAAGGATGGATTTTGCTAAGGTTTTGTGTTGTTTTCAAATTACTCGGCCACAGGTAAATAAAATTTAGACCCAGTTATGGGTCCACTGCTCCTAGCCATTCACACTGCCTAAACATGTACCAATGACAGGAATTTCAGGTACATGTAGATTTGGAAGGATTGTGGCAATGGTTACTCCTCCAAGGAACACATTCCAAAAATAATGGAGGATTTTGGAGGATTGAGGCTACATGTACATCCAATTATCAATAGGAGGTGGTTGGAGGATTTTGAAGGACCGATATTGCATCTTGTGGTACCAATGCCTCCTGACATTACAATGGACATATGTACCTGGTACATGCACAGTACCATTTCATTAGGCTTCAAGTGTGACCCAAATTTATCAATCATATGTCATGATCTCCTGTCTTTAAATCGAAGGGCACCAGAAACTTTTCTGAGGGAGTTGGGTTGCATACATTGTACAAGGGGTTTGAGTGACTACAGGTGTACAAAATATACATGTGCATGTATGTACATGTACCAGAACATGGACTGGTAACTGCAAATATAGATCACACAGCTGAAATTTAAAAGTTCCCTTAATTTTGTACAGAAGAGGTGTACCAAAACGCTGAAATTCTGAATAAAAAAAGGAAACAAAAAAGCTGAAATAAGCTGAAAAGTAGAATTCTAACACCCTTAATGTATTCAAAAGGGGTGTCTTCGATTTGGAGGAATCATAAGCGGGAAAAGGGGACGGAAACATGTACATGTCATCTTTGAGACTCTGCCCCATTTTAAAGTTTATTATGAAACTGAATAATTGTAAGGCTGGGGGCAAATCTCTTTCCCCTGTGCGACATGCGTTTCATTTCTATACAGACCGGTATGTGGACAATCAGGCAGAGTGTTCACATGACATTGATGACCAGAATAGACTGTATTCATGTGTTTGCCATCTTGAATTGAAAGCGAGGTTAACTTACTAGTGTTAAGTCATTTTGGGAACCTGTGAGTAAAAATGGGAGCAGAAAAATAGAAGCCCAGCACAGATCAATGCCAGTTTACACTTAGAATAATATCAAATTTGTGATAAATTATACCGGTATCTCAAAGTTTCTAGCCAGATTTAAAAAACTGAAAGTGAGACATGGAACCCTAAATGGTCTAGCACTTTCCCTCTTTTGCAGATTAAGTTGAAAATAATAGATTCAGGGGAACAAGATCATCATGGCTTCCCGTGAATCAGACAGGCGACAAAACCAACGCTCACTTAGCCTACAAACACAAACAATGCCAACCCACTTCGATGGCATTTGTTCTCGCTATAAATTTTCTTCCTTTTTCTCCTGTGCAAACTTTTTGGATAAGCTACTCGCACACACTGCTCCATTGTTGCATTTTATGACAGTGGGCTTTGTCAGAACTCAAAATGATTTGTGAGGTGGGGAGGACGAATGTCATAGTTTGAAACAGACAGTCGCAAACAACCTCTGTGATTTGAAAATATGTTTTTTAGAGTTTTTTCCTTTCTCCAAGGACTAGCACACTGCAAACAGTGTGCTGTGTATTGTGGATTTATACTGTGAAAATCAAACAACCATAATTCATAATGCTCCTGTAAAACTTGTGGCATTTTAAGGTCCTGTTCTATTATCCAACTTTTTAAAAAATGCCTTTGTGAAGTCGTAGTCCACCTGTTAAACAAGGCCCTACAACTGTAAAAAAAAAGGTGGGAAAACAAGCTGGATGATTTATGGGTCCAGATTGCTTGAACTTGTTGAGAAATGAAGGAAAAAGTCATATATTTTGTCGTTTGAGACATTGAAATGAACTTTTCACTTTTGTATGGGGATGAAACCGTTCCGAATGTTGGGCATGAACTATAGTTGGGACAGTCCAAACTACTTACATGTAGTTACACCAATCCAGCCATGAATTGGGTAGAGAAAATCTCCAAACGTACTTGGGCCAGCCCAAGTTGAGACTGTCCCAGCTGAAGTTGGGACCGATACTTTCGCTGGGCGTAACATGTTAAGGTGGAGGAGATATATGTAAGGAAGGAAGGAATGATTAAAAAATGGCTGATCCCTGAATTAGCGTGCTGGCGAAGTTTTTATCACACTGGAAGTCAGCTTCAGTGTGCATATCAAAGGCTAACAATTGAACTTTTCCTCTCAAATCAGGAATGTACCTTGCTGATGTTAATTGGAAAACAGGACATCTTGGTCCTTTAACAAATGGACTAGGGTCTTGACCAACACAGAGCATTTAATAATGGTCCCTTAATTAACAAAACTTCCAAAATGTGTAATTCCAGAATTAAATCTACAACTTACAAGATTGTGTTCAGTTTTTCCGTGCTTTCAAATTCACAATAAAATGATGATTAAAAGCTAGGGCCGCTGAGTAAATGAAACTCTGACTTCGCTCAGTAAATTTCCAACAAATTCTTTTAGTAAACTGAAGTTAAAACATATTCCAGCTCCCAAATTTTCTTGTGTAACAACAGTCACCAAATCAAAGGTGAAGAAAGAGTTCCATATACGGAGTTACGGACAACACTAATTTTCCCTTTAAATATTTTAACAGCTGTCAGAAAGAGATAACATGTCCTAAAAAGTGAACTTTGGCTTAGAAAATTCTGAAGCATAAAATACTTAGAAAACACACCGTTTTTTTTCAGGTATGTCTCATAGGTTTGTGCACAGAGGCATTACCCGTAAGTGTTGTCTGTTTGGAACTCTGTCCAAAGGTAAAAATTGGAATTTGACAAAGTATGAAATGGAGAAAGTAGAAATTGGCAAAGGAATTTAATCACATCTGTGCCAACTCATAAAAGGCATTTTTCCCCACAGGAAAACTGCAATATGCATGAATGGAAAAGTAATCATTAAAAATCAATAAAACCCTTGAAGAACCAAAACCAACAGCAGTTCAAGCGGATACAAATCTCAACCATCAGACCATCTCAACAGGTCAGAAATCAATACAAATCAATCATTTATTTGTACCGTGAACTGTTTCAGAATCGAGTGGAAAATCTGGTCGATAGAGACATATAGTCAATGAGTCCACAAGAACACATACATGTGATGAAAGTGTGTTTTCAACCTGCTGTGATTAAAAAGTGAATACGTGCCGCGATATTGAAAAAGGATTTAACTTGGATGGATCATGGATAAGCCCGCTTTACAAATCCAGTTGGTTACCCACAAACTACAAAGGCTAGATAGCGTGGTGCGCAGAACATGAGTACAGCAACGCAGCACAGTGTCAATGAAAAGTTTACCGGCTCTTCTAGGGGTTAAAACTTTGTCGATTTGAGACTAAAAAACAAGAAACTTACCTAAAAGAGAGCTACTTAGCAAGACGATGCCCAGAGATATCCTCATGGCGGCAATTCCAGCATGATCCCGTTCACGATGAGAAGGAAAAAACGATTAAAATTCCTGCTTTCATCTGTCCTACATGTACATGTACGTCCATGCATACACCGCGCTCTAAATCTGAGGCTAGGCTAGCTAGCTAAATAGCTATATAGACTGATTGCATTCATTATATACGCGTGCGCGGTGCATCAATCCGCGTACGCGTGGTATAGGTATAGTGCGCGAACTTGATGGGCGATTCCATTTGAACGTGGGAGAGTTTGTCAGCAGTGCTTCAAGGGGCGTGGCTATACGTGGCTCTTTACGTTTTTGTTCATGGGGTTTGTTCTCTCTTCACATATTGTTGAAATTAATAATTATCAGCGCACACCTTGGGAAAGACACAGAATAAGTTTCAATACTTAAGTAGATGAAATGATACAGGAAAATTTCTGAAAAGAAGCATTAAGTAAAACTACCCAAATTTAATAACCAGTACACGAACGGCAAACTTTTCAGGAAACTTAAAAATGTCGTAATTGTTTTAAATTAAACAAATCATGGAAATCACTGCTTGGAAACTTTACAAACAATCCATTTTGGGTTAATAAGAAAATAATGATTTTTAAAAAAGAGAGAAATTAGAAAACTTTTTTAAAATTGTTGGAAATCACTTGCGTTTCAAAGCAAAGAGGGCGCTATAAACCTTTAACGGATTATGAGACGAGTTTTCGGCTGTCTGAATTACTTGGCTACGACTGGTAGCAGTGTAAAACTGTACTGGCGTATATGTTTCCCTAGCCGTAGCCTCTAATACAGATATGGCTTTCCTGGTCTAGTCCCACTCCTAAACAAGTGTACAGTAAGTTATAGCTAGGAAGATGTGCAGTTACCATTCTAAAACTGGATTATGCATTCTGTATATTGTACGTTCGTTCACCACTTCAGCTTTCCAAAAGAAACTTCAAAAATTACTGAGGGTTATTCTTTAAAATAGTAACTGAGGTCAGTCATGTCAGTATGAATGTGGATAGATTCTCGATGTCTGCTGAGGAGTATTTGGGTAAGGTTTGCAGGCTACGTTTTGCAAGAAATCAAACATCACAGTTGGGGATGCATCATGATTAGGCCTACTACTAATCAGCTCTACTGACATGACTGAGTGGAGCGTTAGGCCTAGTTCCTCTTTTTTTGATTTTTGACGGGATCGAAAAAGAGGAATGCTAAGGCTTAACTCAGTAGAGCTAGGGGTTCACTTCAGCTCAGGGCAGATAGGTTGAAGTTTTGAACAACCTTCAACCAAGAGGACATCTCTGTCGTGTCTGTCTCGCTTCCTGCTTTTTTTTTCAGTTTGATGCCAAGTGCTAGTTAGTAGTTATATACAGCGGCGCCCAAGGAATTACCATATTTACAAACTTGGGCCAAGATTGTGAATGTGCATTATACATGTACATGTATGATGTGACATTCCCATTCTGATTGAATTGAGAGATTGCTTGGTTCAGTAAAAGGCAGTGTCTCTCACTCTCAGACTCACGTGTGCCTCTCCTCCTGGCTAGGTAGGCCTACTGTACCCTTGTCATTGTCCTTCCCACCAAAAGAATTGCATTTGATTTCATGTATCCTTCATTAATGATTTGTAAGAAAAGATTAAGATTTTTTTGTTGTTTTCAGCAAGCCAACATGTCTTGCACTATCTGGCAGACGCCGTCAGCCAGTTAATGGAACATAAGGAGGACAACCCAAAGGTCAACCCTGCTAGATTCCTCCAGGATTAGTGAGTACATTTGCCAAAAAATTTAATTTAATACTGTTCAAATCAATATGCAACTAATTTGAAGGTTGAGTTGACCTTACATTGTGTATTCACTTTTTTTTTTGTTCACTGTCGATTCCGTCGCCAGCTTTGTCAGCGTTCAGCAAGGTAATCACACCCTCTTTCGGGAGTATGACTTTGTGCAAGCCACGCCCCACAACAGAGCCTCCTTTGTCAGAATCTTTTGGAAGTGCTTCCGCCATATTGGTGAAAATGGAGGTACGGGATGCTTAGTTTTACAATACTCCTGGAAAGATTAGATCAGTTAGACCTATTTTAGAGAGGGAAAGGCACGGTTTTATTTATGAAAAATGGGGGGCTAAACAGAAAATTGGCTTTAGCAAAATTACATGTATGTGCTTTTGTAAAATGTGGGAGAGAAGCAGTGATAATGACAGCCGTGTGCTCAGCAACCATTTGAATGTGTTACAAGTTTGTGCTCATTCTGATGAAAATTTGGTCACCGGTACTCCGCGTCATATGTACATATATATACATGTACACCAACCAAGGCAAGCACAGAATCCATTGTCTCTTGCATCCTGCATTTCTCTTGCTCAGTTTACCACTAAATTTTGAATTCTTCCTGCAACAGTGTACTGTAGAACATTGCACAAGTCGGAACCAATTTTGTTTTCATCGGTAACCTCAAAGTTGGGAATGGTTGGTTGTATTTGTACCATGCTATTGTGAAGAGTGTTTCATCAATGTTGCACACATCTTGTGAATTACACAAGACTTACATGTAGCCTCAAATAAAGATACATGTACGGTGGAGATGGAGAATATTTTCAGTCTAAATGTTTCAGTTTTTCGCCAAGTATTTCAGACCAGATGCTGTTCAAATTTGGCTACCAAAGGGCATTTTAACTCACTTTTAAAATGAGTAATCATCTTCATCTCGGCATTTTGTATTATGTTTTCAGATCTGTTGAATGTCAGAGAGTATCATTCTTTGCTTTGTCTTCTGTGTCCTGATTTCCCCTTTCATCTGGTCCAGCAGACGGCTCGCATAATCTTCATGGAGGACGCTATGGATTCACTCACGTCATTTGCCGACTTCCTCTACGCTTTCCAAGTCCAGTTTTACTATGAAGGTTTGTGCAAACTCAGTAAATTTTAAGATGTAGTTGAGTTCAATTATCCATTTTACCATTTCAGGGTAATCCAGTGTTAGGCCCAAGGCCAAACTCCTCACGTGTCACTGCAGGTCCTCACACATTACAGAAAAGTCCTCACATGTCCTCAAGTGTCAGGTCCATAT